ATGATTCGTCGAAAGACAGGTGGGTTGACTTATGCTTATATTCAGTCTTTATTTTTTATAGCTACTAGCGGCCGCCCGCGACTTCGTACGCGTGGATCCCGTTTTACCCCCTTTTCCCGAGTTTTCTTTGCTATAAACCTCACGGAGCCCGAGACCTTTCCAACGAATGCAAAACCGTGGAAATCGGTTCGTGCGTTCTGGAGTTATAGCGTCAGGGAGGAAAACCCGACTTATTTTTATATAGTAGATAGATAGTAATTTTGAGGTCAGAAATAAATAATTCTTAGTTAATATGATTTTTTTTCAATTAAAATTCGAAAACTTATCTTAAAACGTGAATAGACTTATAAAATTACGAGTTCTTAAATTACTTAGTCTGAAATTAAATTATATAACTGAATATATCCGAAAACACTCGTTAATTGTAACTTTAGTTCATGCAGACATGCTTTTTTTAGTTTTAGCAGTTAAAAGATATTTAATATTTCATAATTATTTATTTCAGATGGACTGATGATGAGTTGTCATCTTTGAATTGGAATTATATGCAATGCAGTGCATTCTCCGATGCTATCGGAGAGCTTGTCAAGATGTTCAAAGAAGATGGAGTAGTCAAGACGAGAGAATCCATTATCAAAGAATTGTTAAAGCAGAACTTGATAGACAAAGAAGAATTTGACAAACTTACTAAAGGAGAAAATGAAAGAAGTGCTAAAACGTTACAAATGAACAAAGAATTAAGAGAAGATGAAATAACTAAACTTTGTGAACAGCTGACACAAGAAGGAAATCTAAAATTCCTAGAATGGGTCCAGAAAGTCTTACTGGAGACTTGTTTCGCTAAGATTTATGTTGAGAAAAGGTCAAAGATATGCCGAAAAGATAATACTACGAAAATGGATTTCATATTGCAGACTATTAAGAAAAAGTTTGACGATTTGCCTGTTATATCTCCTGTTTCATATCATTCATTGTGTAAGTACGGACTTCATGAATTGCATTCCTTGTGTTTCTAGAACACAATTTTTGTGGATAGAGTCTAAAAATATTTATTTTTTTCAGTGCTCAATCAGTCTGTGCCACTAGTTCCGTGGAATTGTGAGCAAGCATCGATTTGTAAAGATCTGAAGTTTTTACAGTTGCTGCATAAGCTTGGTTTTAACATGCCCGTCGATTCCGGGAAGGTTTTTATTCGTATACCTCATTTCTGGTCTGCTGATATTCTGTATGAGATTGCGAGTAAAATTTTGTATGTCGACCAAAGTAAGTTTTATAATTATTATTTATAATAACATTCCTTTGTTTTATCCTAGTATGTAATAAAAAATAAAATTCGGTCAAGTAAACAGTGCTACTACTAAGAACGATTTTTGAAACCCTTTATTGATTTCGATTCGATTGTAGTTTATACGATGAAATTAAATATATTTATTTGTTTATTAAATTGTTATTTTGTTATTCTTGCAGGTAAATTAAAGTTTTCAATCAATGATATAGCAAATAGCAGTGACGTGCAAAAGTTGCAGCCAAACAGTCAAATGATGATGGCTAAAGAACTCACGAAAGATGTCACCATGATTGTAACAAGCGAAAGCGTCTACCAGATACACAAACAAAAACAATTTGCTGCCATGGTTAATTTCACTCCAATGTAAGTATGCAATTTTTAAGTACAAACTAGCTATAAGTTGTGATAGGTGAATAGGTGTTATTTTGCAACAAAAAATCATGTGTTGTCGTCTATCTATAGATACTATTTCGTACTAAAAATATTATACTTATTGTTTTATTACTTGTTCCAGGCCCGGTTCGTCCTTCAACACGGAAGCAAACGATAATATGAACAAATCAAATTGGTTTGAACTTGTACAAAAGTCACAAGAGTACAAATTAAATTTAAACCTTGACGAGTGAGTTTTTTTATATTTTATATCGGTATCTTATAAAATACGTCACAAAAGGAAAATAATATGGACTAGTCAAAATGGCACTTTTAGAATTAATCTTCATCAGCCTTGAAAGCTGACATCACTAATTCACTACATATTGTAAAGATGTGATTATTGAGAACTCTGCTATTATACCCGCGCATGATAAGGTTAATTAAGGATGGGTAGCTTAGAGTCATTGGACGATATTCTATTTGCTTGGTGACCGGACTTTACAAAAATCATCATCATCATCTCAGCCATAGGACGTCCACTGCTGAACATAGGCCTCCCCCAATGCTTTCCATGCTGCCCGGTTGGTATCGCCCTGCGTCCAGCGTCTTCCTGCTACCTTTATGATGTCGTCGGTCCACCTTGTGGGTCTCACCCTGCGTTTTCCGCTACGCGGCCATCCGCTCCAGAACCTTGCTGCCCCATCGGCCGTCAGTTCTGCGTACTATGTGCCCTGCCCATTGCCACTTTAGCTTGCTAATCCGTCGGGCTATGTCAGCGACTTTAGTTCGTTTACGGATTTCCTCATTTCTGATTCGATCTCGTAAAGAAACACCGAGCATAGCCCTCTCCATAGCACGCTGTGCAACTATAGTGAGAGGCCACGTTTCTGAACCATAACGCCCAGAACAGACGGAACTTGAAACTTGAAACTTTCAAACTGGTCGCGTCATGTGTGGTCCCTCAACGGACGCTATGGCAGAAACTTAGATGCAACTCAAAAGTAACTAGCAGTTGCAGTTTCGTTGCAGTTGCGTTTCACCGTCTGTGCTGGGCCTAAGTCATAACATTTACAAAAATACTTACACTTAATAACATGTTTAATTTCGTCGTTCCAGGAGCATACTGAAGGACGCAGACGAAGGCGGCTCGGATGTGGTGATGGCGGAGGCGGCGGCGCCGGCGCCCGCGCCCGCTCTGCTGGCGCCCGCGTTGCCGCTGCCGTCGCCCGCGCTGCCCGCCGCGCTGGCCGTCAAGCAGGACTTCGCCGCGAGCGTGGCAGACACCGAGTTCTATAACAACAGGTAAAGATCAAATAAGACGCGTCCCACCATAGGCTAGTTTTCTAAAAAAAAAAATATATCTAAAAAATATGGGACACGTATTTTTTTAATTGTCGATCAAATAAATAATTACAATGTTATGGTGCGTTGAAGTTCCGCGCGACGTCACAAAGTGCTGCGCTTTATAGCCGTCACGCTTATACGCTCATTGACGTCACGGGGCTATTTTTTTTTTAACTTTGGCGCGCTTTCTCTTTAAACTTTCATTAGTTTGAAAAAGTGAAAAATACGTGTCGAGTATTTTTTGATAAGTTAACCGAGTTAACTGACGGACTAATTAAAACTAGTTTTTTTACCCAAATACACCCCTATTCTTCCGTTAATTTTTGAGTGTCGGTACACGGTAAATTATCCATGAGTGCACACGCACACTACATGACTTGTGACATGACGCTCGGTTTGCTCGGATCAAACTCCTCGCACCCCGCGCTTCCCTCGACCAAAAATTGTAAATGTATAATTTAAGAATAGCTCGTCTTACGTCTCGTGGTCTGTTTTCTTGAAGAAAAACTTTACAGATACAATTTTAAGATATTTTTATACTCTCGTTAATAATTTTAGGATTTACTTACTAGGTACTTAGGATAGGATGATAGGACTGAGAGTTCATTGCAGTTAGTATCATAAGTTTTCGTCTTAGATAAATGCTAATGTGTGTTTAATATAATCTATTCCTTTATTTCAGCGTGTGTGAGACGGCTTCAGTGGCCTCTGACCTAACCAGAATGTACGTGTCAGATGAAGACGAAAAGCCAGAAGTGTTGATACGCCCGATCATAAATGTGAAGCCTAAACCTGCAGACGACTCCAGCGACACAGAAATCAGGAGTCCCGGTAAACGGCCACGAATTAAATATTCACCACCATTATAAATGTGCGTGCCACTTTAGAATATACTAAAACAATATAAACAATGGCTACGTATTACGTAATATATTTTATAATAAAAATCGATGTAAGTATGTGTTTAAAGTAAGCATTTTATACCAACTCGTTTAGTTGAGATCTTATCGCTGAGGTCCTGTCACTTACACAAATTATACTAAGGCGCAAAATTAGTATGATTTATGTTGAATCAAAAAATAAAATGTAATGTATAAAGTACTGGATAACCTGAACCAGAGTTGAATTTTGTATTCAAAGTATTTTCCAAGCATAAAAAACTTTCATAATGAGGATCTTATTATAAAGCAAGAATATAGCTTAGCCAGAAAAACTAATATCATCAGACAATATTAATACAGGGTACCCAGTGATAGATACATTAATTAATTATTAAAATATGGTCAAGAATAAATGATATTTTCTTATACAGGCTGTATGGCCATCGCAATTATTATGATAGGAGGAGGACTATTCATGTTAATATATTTTTGATAAGACTCGATATTTTATCGATCGAATTACCACGTCGCGTGACGGTTGAAATATGGTCAATACATAGAGCGTTAGGGAAAATCGCCGACTTGATCTCATTTATATCCATAGTTTCTGAGGTAATAATCTAATAATAACTAGAACAAGCCATAAAACAAATACAATGAATTATATTTATAAAAGAAAGACGTCGCTCAATATTCTCTATACAACGCACGTTTTTTATTACCAGAACTATAATTTTTAGTCTTTTATAAACCCGTAGCGTGTAAAGTCTTCATAATTTATGCTTCATATCATCAGTATTTTAATCTATTATACTTAAAAAATATGAACTTACTATTTTCTTGATTAGAAATCAATTATGGCCTAATTATGCCTTGGTTTCACATTTTCATAAAATGACCTGCGAATTAATGTTCTTTTCCTTTAAAATTTATGTAACTTGATATTTTGTGATATCCATAAGCAACGAAACGACGAGAGATAAGCACTGTGAAGAGTGCTGCTGGCTTAATATTATTAATTGTATTTTTTTCTGATTAATGCAATAAAATTCCATTTTCATATTTGATTTTAAGGTTATTTATAACTGGATTGTTTCTTTATACTTCTCACGAAGTACATACCCACCGTCGTTATAATATGTCTCGGCAAAGACCATAAAAAATTACCTATCGCAGGCGAAAGGTAGATATAGTGATTGCTTGAATAGTTCCCATATTATATAAGTTAGGTTTAATGCATAAAATTAAGTACCTATATAAGTCTTAAGTTTCAAAATTATACAAATTATTTTAAATGTTACATTTTTGTGTTTTTTATATTATTCGTTTATTGTACTGCTGTTATTAATTTTATTCCAATTTAAATCAGCTCCATACTCTGTAATGATAAAAACAACAAAAGTTCTGCAAAAAGCAAAAAAGGAAACCTAAAAGTAACCTATGAAAGTAATAGATAAAAACTACAAAATTTATAGTGTGGAAGTGGTGCACTTCGTTTTTAAATGTCTCTTGAGAATATCTTTTATTAGTTGTATTTGAAATAAGTAAATGTTTATTTGGAGTATCTAGTTAAGGTGTGATAATCAAAAAAATATAATTATGTGTATGTTGGAAATAAATAGATTTTATAAACAATCTTTTATTAATAAATTACCATTACTTACATACAAAATTAACAATATTACATAAGTACACATCTAGTAACAAAAAAGCAATTGGGTATCGGTTTTTGTTTCATAAAGTTTTGGTAACTTAAATTCAGTCTAACATGCATTATAAGTTAGACTCAGGTACACAGAGGACAACGGATCTACAGATTTTACTCAGTGGTAGTTATAACTGTTGGAACTGCCTGAATCACCGCTAGGCTGATGTTTATTAAAGTATTCCTTTATGGCTTGATCATAACTCTTTGACTCATCAGAGTCATTCCCGAGATTGCTGTCTGAATTGCCAGAATGTCCGTAGTAACTGCTGGCTGGCGAATCATAATGACTTATCGGTGAGCCTCCGTAAGAATCTTCGCCATAATTTTGGCCCTGTCTTGAGTGTGCCCCTTCGAAGGAATGTCCTTCAGGCGCATAAGAGTTTTCTCCGTTCGACCACGAATCTTCCTGGACCTGGTAAGCTTTGCCTTCATCGCCACCTTCGTGCTGGTGTCCAGATTTGGGTGAAACGATATGAGGTACCTTAATTATCTGTGGGACCGGCACGGGGTAAGGTTTGGCCACGTGAACAGGATAAGGCACCTTTTCTCGTACCTTCACGGGATATGGCACTGGTACTTTAACAGCAATGGTTTTCGTGATTTTGATCACCTTCACGGGTGTTTCAGGTATCTCTACATGTTGTCCAAGGTCTTGCAGTTCGGTATCGTAGCCTTCTACAGGAATGATGTGGGACTGGTGGTGCGATGCTACGCAGTAATATGTGCAGCATAGTAATATTATTAATTTCTGTAAAAAAAAACGATGTTATGTAAGTACATACCTAACATATTAATAACATAACAATTAATAGGTATTACATTATTTTGCATGAATTCATGAAATAGGTACTGAAATTGTATATACAGAGGGTGTGGGAAAAACACGAGGAAATATCCTAAAATGATAATGTATGAGTTGAGATCAATTGACAATTTAATAGTTAACAATAAAACTGTGACACAAATTAATATTGTTATGTAAAATGTAGCGCAACACACTGACGTAAGAAATCTTTTTCTGCAAGCTAGAAAGAAAAAAAGCACGATTCCGGTATTATAAAACTTAATGTACGCTGCGCTGATGTTACATAAGTATTGGTCGTTCTAGTTACTTCGAAGTCTCCAACAAAACAAAAAAATGTTAAAAGCTAGAGCAATGTTTTACTAACCGGAACTTCCATTGTGTCGTGGGTGAGCGTACGTCCACGGCGCCTTAAAGAAATGTTCGAGTGACAAGTGTAAGTATTGAGAGCCTTTTATATGGCGCATTCTCTTCAGGCGAGAGACTGGCTGCCGCACACTGGCCAATTACTTTCCTCTGCAGTCACTTGCGACCTGACAGCGGCGGGGATTGCACTCAAGTTGTTTACTTCCGGCGCCTCCAGCAGTAACCAAACATATATTTTAGGCTTTCAAGATTTAATACCTACTTATCTAATTAAACAGTAACTTATGCTTGTATAAACTATAAACATTCATTACATTGCCCGCCTCGATAAAAACAAGCTTGAATAGTACTTGCTAAGTAATTTAAATGTTATTACATATACAAATTATGATAAATAGGCCTACTTTATTTAGGTACCTATAAGAAAAAGTCCTTCAATTAGTACAAGAAAGAATTTAATTAGTTTAGCTTAATTATCGTCGCGGGCAATGTAAGGTGGTAAGTATTCTTTGTTTTTGGAAATATGCAATTTACAGCTTTAACATCCTGATTTCGTAAGAATCTGTTTTCTTCAGTTAGCGTCTGGGTTTCCCGGTTTCTAGGTGGGATTGTCTGGAAGAGATCGCTTCCTAGCGATAAGACCGCCTGATGGTGCCGTTTCGATCTACATACTAGTTTTCATTTAGGTATGTCTGTATATTCTGTTTATGTATGTAGGTATTTGGTGTAGTGGTTCGAAAAGGACTACTATTCCGGAGGTAGCGGGTTCGATTCCCGCACAGTACAAACATTTGTGTGCATGAACATATTTGTTTGTATTGGACTGGGTGTTTTCTATGTATAATAAGTATGTATTTACAAAAAAAAAAGTATTTAAGTATGTTTATATCCGTTGTCTAGTACCCATAGTACAAGCTTTGCTTAGTTTGGGACTAGAAGCGCAGTGTAAAATGTCTAAGGATATTTATTATTATTTATATTTATTTATCTCGTGATCAATCTAGGTACCTAAGTACTAATGTATACAGTAGATCGTTAGTCGCCACATAATTATATACAGAAATGTGTGTCGCAGCAATGCAAAACGGCAATAGCTCAGTAATTGGTTTACTTAAAAGCAAACCACTGATTTTCAGCTATAGCCTAAGGACGAAAGAACGCGCGTAACACGTCAACGTGACGGTTGGGGGTGACGTGACGTGACGTGACTATCAGGGTTATTCATTTAACGTCGTACCTTGGCAGTCGCATCGAACAGAATAGTTCCGTACCTCTAGCACGAAAAACTTTCGTTTTCGAATCGTTGGACTCAATAGGAAAGGAAAAATTAGATAGGTACCTACCTACGTATGAGGTGTTCCAACTCAGAAATTAGTGCTTTATTTTAATAGACTGCCGATTCAGACGGTAGCTAGATCTATCCCCATCCATCCACCTCAACTATTTATGGTTTCATAATTTATGCAAAATAAGGTCATTATCGATAGATGATGTTCTGTACGCGTTCGTAGTGGCGACGTGCGTCAGGCGCGGATCCAGCCCTCAAAAAAGGTTGTGGGCACAGCCACCAAAAAATAGCAAAGTGAGAGTGGGATCTCTACATGCCCGGACATACATACATGCCTATCGATCTTATCAATAGATCATAATTAAAACAAGCAAATTAGGGTTGTGGGCATGCCCCACAGTGCCCACAACGGTGGATCCGCGCCTGACGTGCGTTAAAGGATATTTTGTTCGCTAGCATGGAAAAAATATCACGAAAGGTTTATTTTTTGGTCTGCATGCAAAAGATTGTCGTTTACAGAATTAAAACACAAGAAATATTTTGGAGTAACTATATTTTAAGTATTTTTAACATAATGGGTATTACTACTTCATTTTGAGTAGTTTTGGAATTGATTAGTTTAAAAATGCAAAAAGAGTTCTTTTTAAAGTTTTAGAATATTGCTCTTACAACATTAATTAAGTATAAATAATAATGTCTGTTACATTAAACTTTCATCCTGTCAGATAAGACTCTGACAATGGATCCAGTTCCTCCAATGTTGTATGCTTTTTCATGCCACAATAAAAGATGTCCACTTGAGCCTTCAGATGGAAACTCAAATCCTCTGTAAATGTATTTCATGAGAATATCAATATCATCCCTGGAGAGGTTTCCAACCACTTCTTCTATTTGAGCAGATTTGATTGCAAGCAGCACTTTTAGTGTCAGTGCTAGAGCACTATCCTGTAAATAGAAATTTATGGTTAGTATAAAAGGCTCTTTAGGTTTCTGATTTGCATAAAGGTGACTAAAAACTGTAATGTGACTAAAAATACACATTCATAACTCATTTTTAATAAATTATTATAAAATGTATGTTTACATTACAACATCTTTTTGTATAGTACCTACAATCTGTACAAATAACCAGTTAATAAAAATCTCACTTTTAACAACAGCTTTCATATAACCCATAACCAATAACGCAGTTTGGGTCCCAACAGCCGAGGCCTAGGGAAGGGTACTTGCTGAAAATCAGCGTCAGGACATGTCCCGAGTATCGCTGAGCGGGCACCTTTTTGGCTTGGGATTTTACTGGTCTGGCTGGATTCATTTACTGTTTACTGTTTTTTATCTTTCTTCTTTAATGTACCTTTTTACACTTGTAATTGTCATTGCTTGTCCCGTGCCAAATAAAGATTTTATTATTATCAATAAAGTACTATGAATATGGGGAAGTTTTTATTAGTAAATTTGTTTTCAATAAAATTAAATAGTCTACCTTAAAATAGTAAGCACTTACTTTGATTTGTTGATTCAAAGATCCCATCGGTGCATTGCTCAGAACTAATCTGAGGGCTTCAATATGTCTACCTGTGTTCAGGAGTTAAGGAAATTTTGGGTGTTTTTCATAATTATTATTAATAAATTGATTCATATTATAAAAATATAACCATCGCATAAGGAAGGTAGATATAAATAAATGTATTTTAATTGCAAGATAAACATTTTTGTAAATGAAACATCAACAACTTATTTAGTTTAGAAAAAAATAAGTATCATCATCATCCGGTCAACCTCCACTGTGCTGAACATAAGCCTCCTTCACTAAGTTCATGGCAGGTAGGTGACCACCATCATGCAATGTCCATCATAATATATGAGGTAAATACATTGCTGTTGTACCTAGTGACTCATTCTTATTAAGTCACTGTGATAAGATTGGCCATTTTGGCATATAAAGATATAAATAATAAATATCAATAAACTGTTATGTCCAAAAGAACAATAAAAAGTGAAAAGTGTTTGTAGTTGGTATTTAAAAAGGATATTGATTCAGCAAAGAGCAAACTTCGCTTTCGTCTGGTCCCGTGGGCACTGATTGTTCGGCTTCATCTTCCTTGAAATTGTCTTCATTGTATTGATCGATATCAATTTTACGAAATGCTGAACTAGATGTATTTTTTGCCATTTTCTTTTAAACACTTATCAGGTTTGGAAACAAAACTTTACTATTTTTTCTAAAAAAATATGAACCCCAAACTATCGAAATTCTCATACAAAATATATAGTTCCAAAATACTGAACTGTCCTATCGATGACATTGACAGCGGGGCGCCACCGTCAATACCACAGATAAGGATAGATGCAGCATGTGTCAAAAATTGTATGAAGCCGAGCGTGCCACTTTTTAAACGTCATTAGTGTCATTTTAGCGAATTTTAGTGATTGCCGCAACGTAAAAGTAATCGTATCATCGTACTGCATTCGCAAAGTCATCGAATGATATCGTGTGACTCGATTCGAAAATTAATTAATTCCGATAAAACTGATAATTTGTTAAATACAAAACCAAAAACATCTTTACTTACCTTTTTAAAATAAATTAATTCTTACAAATCGACAAATCTCGTTATTTTTTTTACCCTACCAGCGTTTCAAGACATAAAGTCAAGTGCATGAATACGTCATGCATCAGTGTGTGTCTTATTGTTATGAGTAAGTACGGTTCCTTGGGATCGGTATGAGTGCACCACATACAGGGACCATGGTTTTAACTGTTAAGAGTACATCGCAGGATATGTATTAAAAACAATGCTACTTTACACTTCTTCTACTGCTACTTTATTCTAATTAATTATATGTTACTTGTGCTGTTAATTACAATTCTCAATCCGTAAATAATTTCTTCTTTCTACCGTGTTCGTACTACTGTCCTCGTAAAATCATCGTAACCGATTGTTGTAATCGGATTACATGAACATCACTCGACCATGTATGTCCATTTGGACATATCGGAATGGCACGCTTTGACGATCAACTTGCTGTATCTACTCTAATCCATATCTGTGGTCAATACCGAATCGCTGGTTCCGATTTTTGCCATGTTGGAAACCATAAAGTTGAACGATGGTAGCGCCCCCCTGTCATTGAGTTTGGCGGGACAGTTCAGCGTGGGTCATCTATATCACTGTCACAGCTGTCACTGACTGTCAGTGTCAGTTGTGTCATTCGTTATGTGTTCTTTTTTTTCCATAGAAGATCGTTATGTGTTCATAGAGAATCTGTCAAACCGCCTCTAGCTGTGGTTTAGTGGTAAGACCACCTGCCTCAGGCCCTCAGCAGACGCAGAGGTCCCGGGTTCGATTCCCTGTGGGGGCAGATTTTTCTGTTCGGTTTGGTTGGTGGTAGGGCTTGTTCTAAGTCCGCCTGGCTAGCTACCACTATAAGTCTGTCGCCATAACGTGGCAGTTTGGAGCAGAGTGCGGCGTTTTTCTTTTTCTACATCGATGTCTCTATCTATCTAAGAGAAGGTATGTATTTGTATAATCTTTGTGATGAAAAAAGTTTAATATGTCATTAATGTCATTGTGACATTGATTGATTGACATGACTGACATTGTTGACATTAAAAATTTTGATGGAAGTCAATGGAGTCGAAATTGTGAAAAAATATTTGTAAAATTACCTACGCGACAGTCATTGTTTGCTAATTTAGCAAATCACATTGATTAAACAATCATTCACTGTTTGTATTGTTTTGATTAGGCCGAACACAAATAATTACCACGATGACAATGGGGGATGAACTACCAGTCACTTCATTGGTTTTGCCAGTTCTCATACGTCCTGTTCTCACGCAGGTACAGTCACTGTATTACAAATCACTTTTACTTTTTATTTTTGTTATTTCAATAAGGTTGTAATCCTATTTTTAACAATTTCAGTTGGAAAAGTACGATTTGGGGGCATCCCAAACATTACGTGCTGCATTAACAAAAGCAGAAGCAGCTGTTCCTGGGTTAAACTATGATCTCGTGGCAGGTATCATGCGAAGGGCTGATATACCTGTCAACATGAACGAAAGCCTGCTTCGTCTTCAAGGAACTCTCACTGAAGCTGAATGTGAGTTCACATTAGCAATCCATATTTTCCCAAATACAAAAAGTCAAATCAGGCTTATAAATCATAAGTTTTATCATGACCAAATGATCATACACGGATGATAAATGATTCTAAAATTATGTATTTTATTTATTCTAGGTGCAGATCTCAGGCTAAATAGAACTGAAGAGGCATTCCAAGAACTGAACAAGAAATCCACAGCTTTAAAAAAAATATTGAGCCGCATTCCCGATGAAATAACTGATAGAAAGACATTCCTTGAAACAATTAAGTGAGTGAAAATTTGCTATTATTTGATAAATAAATGCATTATTTTCAATTTAAAATGATATCATTAAGTGTCTTCAGTTTTGGACATAAATGTTATCAAGTGAGAAGAGACAGCCACTTGAAAATCAGCTAACTCTACCTTTTATCAGTTCTGCAACACTGATGCCAGACCATAGGCTTGCTTTATTTATTATTCTATTTCATAAAAGTGACCATTATTTTGGTTATCTATCAAATAAATAAATAGTTCCTTCATTTTCATAGCTTGCCGAGTAGCATGGTGATATTAGTGAACTAGCTTTGCTGCCATGTTCCACATTTCTGCTACCTCGGTCATCACTGTCCATTAAAATTGTATAATTTAACAGTTAATATTATGACTGTTTGCATAATATGTTACATACTGTTTGGGGTTTCAGAGAATGATTTCCTAATAGTGTTTGCTTAGTAGAGTAGAAAGCAGTAAGCTTTATGTTGACTCCTTAGTGATAACCTCTTAAATGTAAAAAAAGTAATTAAAATCTATTACTGAGGTTTTCACTTTAAGGCGATGATATGAGACTGCTGTAGGTTCTGAAAATCAATATGTAATAATAAAACTAAAACATGACAATATTTATATTTTTTATGTCATAGTGTATTATAAATTATTTTTACTAACAGTAATTGTTGTTCTATAATTTTCAGAGAGATTGCTTCTGCAATCAAAAAGCTGTTGGATGCAGTAAATGAAGTCTCAACTTACACACCAGGCCCTGGCAAGCAAGTCTTGGAACAGAGAAAACGGGAGTTTGTTAAATATTCTAAGAGATTCTCCAATACCCTGAAAGAATACTTCAAGGAAGGACAGTAAGTTAATTCTCTTTTATTTTTTTTATACTTCATTCATAACTAATTGTATTGATAGAATTATTAAATTGAGGCAAATTAGTAACTTTACTGGATCTATTAGTCCCATGCCAAATGAGAAATATCATTTAAATCTTAATAGGTGTTTTATCATTTCATTCATCAACTATCAATTACTTATAACATATAACCAGTTCTTTAGATGACTTTCCTAGTGAGTTTGTCACCCCAAATATGTGAACTAATCATTTTTTTTGCAATTTGATAAAGTTATCATTCTGATATTAATAAAACAAAAAGATAACATTTATCTTGCTTGTATTAGAATTCTTTTGATTATAATACTGCACCTATTGCTTCATTATTCCACTAACATTCCTTAGATTTTTTACGAGGGGCGGCTGAAAAGTTCGCGGCCTAAGGTACTTAGCTATGAGTAATTAGCATGTTACTCATGTCACTAGTTGCGACACTCAGTAGTATTATAAAAAGCAATCACTAATTAAGTTTGCACTGATAGTTCAATTTCTATCGAACAAATGACATCACCATGCCCGCCGAATCTGGAGATTTGCGGAATTTCGACACCGCGCGCCGCGGACATAATTCCTCGTAAAGAAGGAAAATAGACCGAAAGACATTTTTGAAGAGATGTCATTGGTTCTTCAGGATTCTGGACCTTCATATACTATGGTTAAAAAATGGGCCCGACTATTTCAACACGGACGAGAGACCTGTGAAAACGACCCCCGCCCTGTCACGATACTGAGTGAAGGAAACGTTCAAAAGTCAAATATTGTTCCGGCTGACCAAAGAATTAAATCGTGGCAGATAGCTGAAAAATATTTCTTTATGTTCGCGAGGCTATTGTACAGAAATGACGTGGGAAACTGACACGCGGATTGATCTTTCGCACGTGTTGCGAGGCCAAGCCCTGAAAGACATTGGTTCTCAGAGATTGACCACCCACCATATAGCCAAGACCTATCATTACCTAGCGATATTTTCCTGTTTTTCGATTTGAAAAAGGACTTATGTAGATGACAACAAAATTAAAGCTGCGGTTGGTCGTCATTTTGAAAAAAAAAATTTTGGGTGGGTAAAAGGCATTGTATGCGAGATTTAAGAAATGTATTTCTTTTCAGGGAGATTATATTACAAAAATAAAAATAGAAACCATTTATTTTATTTCATTAAGTTCCTTAGGCCGCGGACTTATCAGCCGGCCCTCGTATTTTGGAAGTGATTGTGATTGATTAGTGATCGAAATAACGATTTTATGATTGCAAGTTGTTAATTACATGTATTTCTTTTTCAGGGCCAATGCAGTGTTTGTAAGTGCTCTTTATTTGATTCACCAAACGAACCAAATTTTATACACAGTTAAAAGCAAATCTGAATAAGATTATTTGAATGTTTTAGGAATAATATTTCCTTTGTTAAATCATATTATGTTATCCATGTAATTTAGGAAGGTCCATTGTTTAGGAAGAGTATTTAAAGAGGGTATATTTTACTATAAATGTTAGATACATTGTTAGAGCAATATAAAAATATTATTCAGATTAATTATTAAAGATTTAGATCTTAAAACATAGTGTACTATATGATTATAATAATAATAAAATCTAAACATATTTTAGTGTTTCTCCCTTATTTTATCATAGTATTTTCTCTATATTGAATAGATTCAGAAGTATTTCTTTTTATTATAACATGTATCATTCCATATTGAATCATGGTTAATTTGTAATTCTACTACAATTTAATTCACCCATTCTTAAGTTAAACAAAGTTCCATTTATTAAAAAGGTTTTATCCATATTTTTATACTTATTATTTAATGTAGAGGTCATAGTCTTCATCCTTCATAAGGAATTTTATTTGGGGTATATTGAAAATTATTTTGTATAGCCATTGAAATTTTAAAACATTCGTTAGCATTTGTTGAATGTCTTCCTGCTGTAATTTAATATTAAATCAATCACTAATAATGACATACACTTTATGAAATTCATACATGTTTCAAATTCAGGATAGTTTGTTTAGATTTTTTTTTCTCAGCAATATTCCATTCTATGTATATGCATCTACCATTTAAACTATAGTGATTTTCATTATCATATTAACCATTATTACGAAAATTACGTTGTAGCTAGCGTAATTTGTTTTCTTGAAAAGGCTATTAAAAAAAAAATTAAAATTGCTAATATTGTCTGTTGTAATTAATTCTATTTAGGATAATAAAAGATACCTAGTGTGCATAGGTTGTATGTAGATGCAGCGCTTTAATTTTAATAAATCTATTTTACAGTCAGTACTTGTTTTTTTACGAAGATTTATTTGTTTATCGGGTGCGATTTGAATATTTTTTGGTTTAAGAGCGCTATAAATTATACAGTGTGTCCTGGCATGTAGTGACCAAACTTTAAGGGCGTGATCTATGGATGGAATTTTTTCGACGAAAATACTTCAAATCCGGGCTTGACCCACCTCTCGCGAAATTACAAGAATAAATTTAAAATTTTTGGTATTCACCTCCTCCTTCAAAAACAAGCAACAGCACGGGCACGTTGAAAATAATAAACTAATATTTTATATCATACAATAGCTGACAAAATTATCTATTAGTAGAAGTAGAAAACAGACACAAGCCCCATACATTTTAATAGAGTAAGAACGGATTTAAGTAAAAAAAAAACATGACTTTTCACTTCAGAGAAAAACGTAACGTCGTTAAAGTATGTTTTATTTGCACTGTATTACTAGTATTTGAGCTATTCTACAAAACAAATTAGTTAAGTCTATTAGTTCCGACGTTATTGTTGTTCGAAGAGACAAACGATTACGAGCTGAAACGACCCATTCCCAGAGCGGTCGCGTAGCAATCGCACATTCGCGCCCTTAAAGTTTGATCACTACATGGCGAGAAGCTACCAGCACTTTCTAAAATATACATTAATTTGTCTGTATTTTAAATATGCAGACAAATTAATGTATATTTTAGAGAGTGCTGGTTCTTGTTTACAACTTGTTTTGGGCGATGTCAATCTACATAGATATTTAAGTACCTTGCAAAACCGAACTCCGGTAATTTCAGCTGGATATAAAAAAAAGCATGGCCGGACCGACTGTATACTACCAATACGCAGGCTATAGGCTATAATAAAGTAATATAAGACCAATAGAAGCTTCATTGAAAAAAGGGGACGAAAACAGGAAAAAATATTCAAACTATTTTCACGCTAGGTACGCGTGACACGAAATCGCTGGCGCACCTAGTGTCAATATGCGACCAGCTTTTTGAGTCTGCTGAAAGATTTTTGTTATGATACAAACACTGCTAACTTAAATTTCATAAACAGTACCAATTAATTCTTAGGCTCCGTTTCCACCAAGCGGAGAAATGTTTTGACTAACTAACCGAATTTCATTCATTATTAGGGAATTAAATCTGCAAAACATTTCTCCGCTCCGCTTCGCTCTGCTCCGCTTTGATGGAAACCGAGTTTAAGTCAGTGTCTTCTTTCGACTTACAAATAAGCTCTGTAGGTTATTGACTTGAACTGTATGTAGAGTTTTATAATATAACTTGGGACTAACTGAAATCCACAAAATATGCTTGGTCTGTCCCGGCCCTGTATGTATAATAAACCTATTATTCAGTGTTATAACTATTTGTAAAATTTTCATTGTAGCAGTCGCTTTAAACTCTAACCACTCTAACGTAAAAACACGAGCAGACTGGTCTAAATTGATCATCGTGTAGGTGTTCAAAAATACAATCCGTAAAACCACGTAAAACTGTAAAAACAAGAAGGTATAGGTAATAGAATAAAAGATAGAGTAATCTTTCCCCATACCACATTAATTCATCCCCTTCTCTAAAGGTATGTATGTTCTCATATTAGTTACCTAAAATCTAATAGTTTGGTCAGTATCATAATTATTACAGTTATACAAATATTCTCTTATTGTCAGGTTTTACAAATCCCTCAAAGCACGATTTTTGTACATAAAATTAGTTGTAGTTTATTGACGTTTGTCGTCGCTGCAGGAGTGACAAAATAATTTCACAGTAGTATTGTGAGTTCGTGGGAATCGATCGTTGAAATGTTTTGGCAGTACCACATTTCTAGCTGGTGCCGGTGAAAGAGGCTGGTAAAATGATTTCGTGACCGCGTTTAATAGGTCATGAAGCCCGCGCTGTGATTCGTCTCGCCGTGCGAGCGTGGACAATGGCTGGTCGTGCCTTCTGCCCTCGCACCTCGGCCGGCCTGTCCGTGACACTTGACACAGGTACCCGTGTACCACGACCTCAACATATTTCCGCGTACAGCGTTTTTTCTCTCAAACGTGAATCTTCCTATCGGAGGAGTCAATTTATACGATCGAATGAAAAAACGCTAACTACGTCAGAACAATGGTGTACACTTTTTAAAAAAGATTCATAGTTTAATCGTGTAGTATTCGTGTTAGTAGATCAGGTGGATTCGAATGATATACATACCCATCTCCGGCTAAAGTTCGTAGGTAAGTACCTACTTATTCATTACAATAGGTCACTTTCTTTCCGGATCAATCGGAACGTTACTTCTTATGACACGGAGCTTCAACAATGAGTCAATCATGCGGATCAGTTAAAATATTCATAGCTTGAAAGTGGAGGCGTAATCGATTTTAACTCCGAAGCGTCGGTCCTGCGCAGGCGCCGCGTGTTGTAGATGAAAGTGTGTGATATGAACGATATGGTCGCCATTATGCACCTCGAAATGTCATAATACATATAATATTAAAATATGTCTAAGATTGTATACAGGGTGTACAAGAATACGAAACAATACACATCAAGAATGTTATGACTTATTACTTACATGTTATTCCGGTACCGTAGGTATACAAAAGTTTAAAAAGTCGGAGACAAACATTAGGTCTTTGCTCTACAAAGTGTGAAGAGGTAGAAAAATAGATTTTCACGTTTACTTTCTATAAAATAAATACTGCTGAAGGACACAGAAAGACAAGGCTCTGGGTACGAAACCCTATAAATAGAGTCACGTAAGACACTCATAACTGAATCAAAACCACTAGAAGTGTATCTACTTTCCGCTATTCTCAAATAGAAGATGCGTATTTGTGTTACATTTTGTTTATGACTTTCGAATAAAGTAATTATTTTTACATAATATTTTTCACATAATATTTAAGCACTTACGTCATATTAAAATTATAGAGGTGCTCTCGTTTATTTTCTAACTTGTTATTTTCAAAGATACCGTATGTTATTGTTAAATAAGTAGTTTATAGAAAACTCTAAAACTCATAATTGACGCATAAATGCGTTTCAGTGTACGACTCGTAGAAGGTAATGTACCTTGATGATTTATACTTTACTATTCACATTTAAAATTTACGTAATAGGTAAACATCCTGCTAGTTCGATATAAAAAATAGGTGGTTATCAATTTAGTATACTTAATGTTCCATTGGTACATCCTTATGCAGCAGAATCAATTCCGAGATAACATATAAATGGGACGATGGATGGCTCCTCCGGAGTCGATTTGTTACCACTTGAACATTAGCATCGCAGACTTCAGAAAAAGCTAGTTTCCGATGCAACACATTTTGAATGTATGCTCCTGGAGCATCCTGTAATTGTTACACATCAATCTCGGTCCTTGTTGCAAAAACAAAACATTTGTTATTGAAGATATTATCATTCGGTAACCGAAACTGTTGAGGTGATTTATACAGATGATTCGAATTAAAGTTCAACATTTACATGCTGGAAGTTATTCAATGAATATTATACACATCAAACTAAGTCTGTATATGTCCCACTGCTGGGCCCTTACCCCATTTGTGGGGTGATTTGGGCCATACAACATGACTTGGTTGTAGTATTGATTGCGATAAATAAATTAATACTAAATACTTACTCATACATATTGCAATAGCCGGGCTCAACCTAAACCGTGCCCTTCGATGCATGGAGATACACGGTTAACTTTTTTCCACCATATTTTATGTACACAATAATCTACAGTGTGATTTTGCAATCAGTGTCCAAATTTTTAGGAATGACTCAAAATCAGTAACTTAATCGATATACATAAAAAAAAAAAAATTATATTTACCTAATTATATTTATCAGCTGCGCGCGGTTTCAAAATTGGCTCACGTGGATAATTTACTTCGTTCATAGAAAAATACGAATATACAGTTAACTGCAAAAACAAGCCTTAGGATTAGGAATCCTTTAAAATTTAAGACATGGGCACCGGCGAATTAGAACAATATTTTTTTTTCCCGAAAACTCCCACGATTAAGAATAATTAATTACGATAAAGTTGTATTTTTTAAATTGTTTCATAGAGGTTATTAAAAATAATGGATACTGATTGCAAAGTCACCCTGTATAACTATGATGATAAAAATAATGAATGCCTGCGATTCATGGTAAATACCCACTGAAATTTAATTTTAATTAGGATTTTTCATGAAAATTTGTTTAACTCATTAGAAGTTTATGTTACAATAATAAAAGGAATATAAATCTTAAGCGATGAAGACTTCAATCGTTTTAAATTGATGTTAACCCGTAAAGCATTTTTATGAGGACATAATGATTGTTCTCGTTGTTGTGCTTAGCAATGCAAGCAGTTTAAAAATGCTTTGCTGCTTTCTATAAATAGCAAATTATCTTTTCGCATGTTTCTAAAATAAGTATTATGAAATAACGGTACCTATTTACGTCAATAATATTAATATAAGCAGTCACCATTTTCTTTCTTTGTGAATTGTTGCTAAGGTGCCTTTGTTAACTATTTAGATAGATGATATTCGATTGGTTGATTAGTACTTAATTAGGAATTTTATTTCAGTTTCTAGTTACATGGTAACGTAGTTAACTCCAGTAATTAAATTGAGGTTGTCAGTTCCGCGACAGAAATCATTATGAATTCAGAACGAGCCTAAAAAATACGGTTGTTGACTATACCTACCAGACGTTGAGACGTAATACGAAATCTAGACAGACTCATATTATACATTCAGCCGTGTCTAGATTTTCTATTCATGAAATAGAACATCCAGGATGATATTGATAGACACCGGTAGGTAGAACATATATTTCCGTAAATGTTTTCAGAAGTGATAAATTACCATGTATCAGCAGACAGATGTCTCGATGAAAAGTTTGACCGTATAGCAACCGGACTCAAATTGTGTCCAATGTTATGCGTGATAGAATATTAATAGAGCATCTGCTGAGCGCGGGCGCCGGCAGGGCGCGCGGGCCGGGGCGCGGTGCAA